TGAGTGCCAAACTCCATGTCCAGAGCAAATTCTATTAGTCTTCCAACTCCACAATCTTTGCCCTCCTCTCAGCTGCTTTCTTCCTGACAAAGATGCCCCATCTCATTGCAGCCTTAATTTTCAGCCAACCCACAACAGCCTTTCCAGAACGGGTTCGATCCTCATTATAACTTGAGCCTGGAGAAGGCGATGGTATATAAGTGGGAAAACCATACCCATCTTCAGGCATATTAACAGAGGCATGAGCTCCCATGCTGAAAAGCCGAAGCAAGTGCTGCATATCATCATTCTCAAGAATTTCATGACTTCTAATGCGAATTTCCTCCTCTGATAAGAAGTCATCAACACCCTTCTCCCGATTATTGGACCAGTCCTCAAAAGGATTAGGACTGGCTTGCTGAATAGAAGAATTTCCCGTTTGGAAAGATGATGACTGAGGAGGGCCAAGGGCAAGACCAACCCTCTCATCATATGAAAGGTTGACCTGCTGTTCAGGCTGAGTAAAAGAGGGGGTATCAAACTGGTTGCGGGAACTGGAATTTATAAGCTGAGGCTCGGTAGGATATCGAGTAATTATATTGTCGTAACCTGAACCTGAGATTGATAAAAAAAAAAAAATCGCAAGGCATTACGAACAAATGTCAGTGTGGCCATGTATGTATGACTTTCAGGAAATAATAGAGGTTACCAGTAAGATTAAAAAAAAAAAAAAAAAAAATTTAAGTGCACTTACCTGATCTGTCGTATTTCAAAAACTAAAAGAGGTTACCAGTGAAGATGATCAAAAGACAGTGGATTACAAATAAAATTAGAAGAACAAAATAATGTGGAACAAAAACGAAGATGAGAAAAGAGTACAATGGTACACGCACTTTCCTGATCTGTGCCCCCCACCCCCGCCCACCCCACACCCAACACCCAAAAAAAAATAATAATAAAAAATAAACATAAAAATGAAAACCCCCCACAAACCAAGCAATCATCTTTCCACCACCAAGATCAGATACCATTTCCTAGCACCAAAAGCTATGACATACCTCCCAATGTCATCTATGGTCTAAAAGCCACCCTCACCCACTTCCAGAAAAAGAAAAGGAAAAGAACCTCAAAAATACCCAACTGCAAAAACTAAAAAGAGAGAATTTTACTCCCAGGTCCTAAAGGGCAAAAGTAGATGTGATAAATTAAAGAAAATGCCGGCAATTATGTCACATGCTTAATAAATGACATTGAGATGTTTAAAGTAGAGGAAATTGTACCAATCAGAAAGTTTTAACATTTATTACTACTCTATTTCAGTCCCATGGCTGGCTGTCAATTATCAACTATTGAGTAAAAGAGGAATGTATTCATTAAGGTCAAACCTACCTCCAGTTAACATGTTCAGGTCAACTGATGGTTGCCGGCTGGCTGTCAATTATCAACTATCAAGTAAAAAGGGAATGTATTCAGTAAGGTCAAACATACCTCCTGTTAACACGTTTGAGTCAATTGACGGTTGCTCAGATTGAACTGATACTGGCAATCTCTGAAGTGGAAGCTGATTATCCAAAGCATTAGGATAATTGACAGGGCCCACAGGCAGATCATTGCGAGACATGTTCGACTTTTTAATTTGCTTAAAGTTCAAAAGTGATTTTCCATCATATTCTACAACCTGGGTCCAATTATCATATGCTTTCTTCACCAACATATCCACATATACCTACAGGTATTAAAATTTCGACAAAGCAATGCCATCAGTCGTAAGTTAATGGTTCATATGAAAATGTCTTATTGCACTAGCTCAAATAATTGTTGAAAATAGAACATCATCTAAAAAGTTACAAGCAAAGTATAAATATTAATCCCAGATTCCTGGTTTGAAGGCTCTCTTTGAGACTCAAAAAACTCTCGGGTAAATGCATTACACTCATGATTAGAAGATCAATAATTTCGCCATGTGTCCAAAGAAATCATTCAATGTTTGTGGTGAAGGACATAATTAATTCAGTGGGGATATTTCCAGACCAACAGACACCTTACATAAATGCCACTTCTAGCAAGAGAATGTCTTATTGCACCAGCTCAAATAATTGTTGAAACTAGAACATCATCCAAAAAGTTACAAGCAAAGTATAAATATTAATCCCAGATTCCTGGTTCGAAAGCTCTCTTTGAGACTCGAAAAACTCTCGGGTAAATGCATTACACTCATGATTAGAAGATGAATAATTTTTGCCATGTGTCCAAAGAAATCATTCAATGTTTGTCGTGAAGGACATAATTAATTCAGTGGGGATATTTCCAGACCAACAGACACCTTACATAAATGCCACTTCTAGCAAGAGAATCCAAAATGGAAACAGTTGAGTCTTAAAGATTACAGAAGTTCTTTATGAAATCAAGACACTCCTATCTTTTCAAATGTCAAAAACCAGAATAGACTTTATTTGGTAAACAAATTTCTGAAAACTTAATTGAATACACGGCCCAAGGGTTTGCCTACCACTATTTTTACATGGATCCAAGTTACACAGTGTAAGTCATGTTTGACAACATTTTACGTACATAAATCTTAAAACTGATCATTGACTTAAGGATACCCTACTAGTTTTGTTTCTTAATGCACTAAAATGCTTCATCTGACACTTGTAACCATTTCACTACTTGAAACAGAAGGAAAAAGTTTAAATATGAAGATTTGCAGTGCTCAGGTTCAAATCTAAATCTGCTATGAAATAAAATTTCGTACAAATACATTCACTGACAAACTATCGATTTTCGCGTAACATATATAACAAGCAACTAAAGGGGAAAATGAAACTTGTGTAGAAGAATAGTTAGAGGCAACAAACGATAAATCGTAATTTTAAGGGAAATATGACCAACCTTTTGGCTGTCAGAAAGTGAATCTGCTGGATGATATTGTTCGTTTGCTATAAGGCCAGTCAACTCATAGATATTGTTAAAAACAACACCCACATTTCTTGAATCATCAGGATAATATATATAAAGCTTTCCACTCAAGACACAAGTCTTCGCATGCTCTATGAGGGCCTCCCACATCTTATTTGACATACCACTACCAAGGATCTGGCAAAATCATGGATACAAATCAAAATATGAAAATCATGGAGCTTCTAATTCAACAGCTAAAGCCATCTTACATTTCGTAATTTTTGAGAGTCCCTGACCACAAGCTGCAGGAAGTCCTCAACCGTAAGTATTCCTGCATTATTAAGCCTCTTGTGAAATGAACCTTCCTTCCCGATCTTTTCCAATCTCCATACTTCGTCATTTAAAGCAGGAGGATAATGTTTTTTGTACACTGCATCAGAGAAAAGACTATTCAACAAATATTTCAAGATGATGAGAAATTAAACAACATTGAATAAAGTCTCTCACATTCCCCTCTGTGATCTTTAACACTAAAAGCCTCTGTTTTTGCTTCCCGTACGCGTATCCCCTCACAATATCCTGATGCAACCTTTAGACCAAGTCTGAACTTCCTGCTCCTTATCCAACTTGAATTATCAGTAAATGTGAGATCTCCTAGTGTTCCAACACCTTCCTTGAGTGTTACTTGCAAATCCCCAGTCAAAAGAGGCCTTTTCCCCTCACGCTCTTTCACAACGTGGCTTTCAAATTCTTCTTGAGTCCACCCTTCATCACCTTCGTTGTTAAAATCACCTTCTAGTACAACAATATCAAGTTTCACGCAAGATTCAAGTCCAGATGTTACAACATGGCCTGTGTTTGCATCAATCAGTACAACATGAATAGCAGCACCCTGCTCCCCCTCTACTTTCCCCCCAGTGAAGAGAGGGAGGGAAAGCCTGGACTTAAAATGAAGCTGCAAGTTTCTCCCATCTGGCCCTTCAATACGTTTAGGTGATGACCTGGAATATTCAATTCTTATAAAAAAATTCCAAAGACGAGGAAGCTTATATGATTCAGTGGATTAAACAATACAGTTCATAATTAATGAGAAACAAACAATCCACAGAATACCAGGGTCAATGACTATAACTATTGAAAATTATGTTCTGAATAAAAGTGACTTCCATTATAGAATGGAAGACCTTAATAGCTCTTCTTATATGTGAAAAACACTAAGAACAACTCCAAGCCCCAGTTGTGTATGCTGCCGAATGTAGCCAAACGTCAAGTACTCAAATTACACATGCAGGGGCATATTCCTTGATGAAATTAAAGGAGCCCTTGAAATATCGAAGTAATACTCTGCTTTTTCCATTAGTAAAGTTGATTATGTGATAACTGTCCACTGATTACTGAAGTTCTCCTATCTGGAGTGGATTCCTGAATATTCTTTCAACCTCCAAAAGTTCCTTATATTCTCATGCTTCTCCTTTTCTCGGCTTTTCCTAAATCTAGAGCTCGTAACAGATTACACATACAAGGGCAGAAATCAATTAACAGACTCAGAAGGCTTTACACCAACACCACTAAAAAACCTTATACTTCATAAAAGCATCATATCATAAATTAAAAAAAGTGACAGCTGCTTCAACTCAACTAATTATTCTCTCTCAAATAACAACAAATTAGGTGTAACGGCATAGATTAACAGTGTGAGAACCGATCTGGTGATCGATCCCACGAAGGCCCTGGGTCACTGGTCAGACGAGTGGGTGCAGGTTAATAATTAAAAACCCAAGGATAGTTTTCAGTGTGTAAATTTTATTTTAAGACAGATTTGAAGTTTTAACTTGTTTATCATTAATTAATTATACATTAGTCTCGCAAACTATTTTTGTTACCATAATGCTTTACAATTTTTAATTCTTTTTGTTACCTTAATATTTTAAAATTTTTAGTAATCTAGTATTAAGGAAATAAATTTATTTCTCAATATACATTAACAAATTAAAAAAGTAGTTATTTGATAATT